TTCCCCCATAAAGGCATTCTCAAAACCTACGTTAAAAATAGGGAAAATTAAAGAAACTTATGGTAATTTATTAAACGTCTTAAAAATCAAAATCCCCTTAACTCTGGAAATGTATTTACTTAATATGCTACCGGATAATATAAAAGACCTCACTTATATAAATGTTTACATACTTACAGCGGCTAGAATACTTATTGCGAAACGTTGGAAATCAAAAGATATACCTACTATAAAGGAACTTAAACATAAGATATTAGAAGTAGCAGAAATGGACAAATTAAGCATAATGTTACAAAATAAATCAGAGGAGATATTTTGGAAAAGATGGAAAATAATTTATGATTGGCTGAACATAAAGAAGATGGACTAGACTTGAAAATATGTAAAACTATATTATATTAAAGAAAGAGAAATGAGATTTAAAGGAATCTATAATTATGTAATCAAACATACTTTTGATTGAAACTGAAAATAATTTTTTTAAAAAAAGCAGAGACATAACATCCAAATCGCAAGATGTCATAGTCCTGCTGTACACTGCATTGGTCAGGCTGCACCTGGAGTATTGTGTGCAGTTCTGGAGGTCTCACCTCAAAAAGGATATGGACAAGGGAGCTCCCGGCTGCTGCCGAAGGCAATGGTGGCTGGGGGCTGATTTGCCGCAGTGGAGGCCGGCAGGCCTGCAACGACGTCGCAGCGCAGCGCACTGGGACGTGGGCGGGGATGAGCCAGCCAGGTAGGCTCGGCTCCACTCCCACCCAGGGCAGTTGCTGCCTCGTGCTCATGTTGGGCGGTCGAGAGAACGAGGTGCTGCCTTGTTCAGTGAGCCTTGTTCGGTGAGCTTGGGAGCCCTTGGGGCGCGGCGGCAGCTACTACGCGGCGATTGCGCGGGGTGTCCTTCCAGGCACCAGCAAGGCGGGGGAGAGTCGGGTTCGACAGCTGCAGCTTGAGGAGGCGTCGTAGGCTCGCATGGCCCCAGCATCGAGAAACAGGGGGTACTTGTGTAGAATGCATGTACAAAACAGATGCTCTGTGCATACAATTCCTAGAGGATCCAAGTGTAGAAAACAAGAGCAGATCCACCATTCTGCCTTCTCAGTACAGTGACCTGGATGGGATATTGCTATATGAAGGTATCACATGAGGATGAGCAAAGCCATTCTAAGGATTTTGCTTATTCACAAACAGAAACAACAGAAATGCTTTGAGGTTAGATACCACAGGTTTGGAATGCAAATGCATCCAGAGCACAATGGCCAAATGTATTCCTGAGAAAACTGTGTTGCCCAAAGCCAAAACTGTCTTTCTCCTTATAATTTTAAATAGACAGTATTAAGAGGGTATGCTCTATTTCTGAGCCTATGCGGTATGTACTGTGCAGACTAGGCACTCAAAAAGGCCACTGCTGTATCAGTGCATGACATGTTTGTTGATTGCTGGAACTGACTTCAGAACTTAAATGTTAAAGGACTACATCCTGGCTTTTAACTCCTCCTTACAATTTTCAGGTTAGGAAATTTCAAATACACTCCAAAGTGAAAGCATACAAATGTATCACAGTGCAAAATATGCCCAGTCATAGGCTACAGTTCCCTAGTGGAAATGCAAGAATGCACACACCTACTACCTGGAAAGAAACTGTGCATGCACACACAAAAAAAATTAATAAACCAATGTAGAACATGTGAGAGCTAGATTTGAGAGTAAGTAACACCTTAAAGGCCAACTAGATTTTCAGGGTATAAACTTTAGAAAGTCAATGCTCCCTTTGTCACAGGAAGGAGTGCTCTATTATCCCCTTCTAGCTCTCCTCCTAGGCTGCCTGCCTTAAATCATTGGCAAACACGTCACCATTTCTTATTGCAGGTAGACGGTTTTTAGTATTATTTATTTAGGACTTTTATGCCACCTCTCCAGGAACCTGCCTGGGGCAGCTTACAAACTCCAAAACAATAGGAAAAAATTAAAAAATTAATTAAAATGCAGCATTAAAAATCCAGACCAGCATAAAAAAATAGACCATACAAACAGACCACTGATAACTCTATCTGTTGTTGGATGTCCAGTCAGACTCTAGTCCGGGAGATTTGGACCTGGCGTTGAAAGCCGTAGCTGGTTGGCTTAGAAAGAGCTGACTGAAATTGAATCCGACAAAGACAGAGGTCCTGTGCCTGAGTCGGACTGGTCCAAGGTTAGGGATCCCTCTCCCGACCTTTGATGGGGCACCACTGGTGCCAGTGCTGGAGATTAGGAGCTTGGGAGTGCTCCTAGATACCTCCCTAACGATGGAGGCCCAGGTAGCAGCCACTGCAAAGTCGGCCTTTTATCACCTATGGCTGATTAAGCAGTTGGTTCCCTTCCTTGAACGCAATGACCTAGCAACAGTGATCCACGCACTGGTCACCTCAAGATTGGATTACTGTAATGCTCTTTGCATGGGGCTGCCCTTGTCCCAAATCCTGCAGCTGGTACAGAATGCAGCAGCGAGACCGTTGTTGTGCCTTCCTGTGTGGGAACACATCCAGCCCACCCTAAAAGCTTTACACTGGCTGCCTATAGCATACCGGATATGCTTCAAGGTGCTGGTTCTTACCTTTAAAGCCCTATAAGGCCAGGGACCTGCTTACCTAAGGGACTGCCTTTCCCTGCATGTACCCCAGTGAGCACTAAGATCGGGTTCCCAAAATCGCCAAGTTGGTTACAACGAGGGCCAGAGCCTTCTCTGTGGTGGCCCCCCACTGGTGGAATGAGCTCCCAGAGGACATCAGGGCCCTGCGGGACCTTTTACAGTTCCGCAGGGCCTGTAAAATGGAGCTCTTCCACCAGGCTTTTAAGTAGGGTGCCGCCTTGATCATATTGCCCTGGCCCAATTACCAACTGTGCCAACAATTGTACCATCATTGGTTCACCATCTTTTAATATAAGTTATGTTTATGTAGTATGATTTTATATTGATTGACAGTTTTAATGGAATTCTAATGTATATTTGTATATGTTGTTAGTTGCCCTAAGCCTGCAGGATATAAATGTAAATATAAATAAATATAAATAAATAAATAACTTAAAATAACAGTTTTCTGACTAAAGTAGTATGAAAAGATCAACCCCTTAATTAAAAAGCCTGGGTGAACAGAAACATTTGGCCTGGTGCCTAAAAGATAGTATTAAAGTACTCTGGTCCTAGTCATGCCTAGCATCATTCTGAAGGCAGATATCTGTGGATTAAGTAGGTATGTATGCCATACGGATGACTCCACCTGATTTTCTAACATGCATACAAAAATATTTAGTAGTATTATTGCCAGTAATTCCTTTGGTTATATTCTAGGGTGTCTTTACGGCTTCACAATTGCTATATTATTTATTTTCACAACAGGCTTTTAACAAGCATGTTAGATTGAGTGCAAGCAACTTCCCAAGGTTTAGCAAGGTTTTGGAGGTTGGTCTATATTTCTCCACATTAAAAAACCCCTATCAAATATTTTAAAGAGTCCTTAGATGTTGATTCATTTTCTAGATAAGTTACAGTGTGCAGGGTCTTTTTTTCTCTCTTCAACTTCCCCACCTTTCTGACTCTTCACCAAGGGCAGAAAATGCTGCTCTGCTCTAAAGCTGTGTTAAGGACCACTCACCATCTGTAGCTGCTTTCTGCTTCATGTAATTCTCACAAGACACCCAACCAGATTCCTAAAAATCTGTTGTTTTTCATGCAAAATCTTCAATGCATTCATTACTTTCTTCTTCACAGAAACTTTACCAACCAAAATATTCAATAGAGTGGAATGAAGCTATAATGCATTAGGCCTTTATAAATACCACCACTTTAAATGTTAAATCCATGATGTTTATCTTCTCAGAAAGATTATAAACCTTTAATAGCAATAGGTGTGGAAACATCCCCAGTCATAAAATAAATAGCTCTGTTTCTCCCTGCTTTTATGGTTTTATTGCCAGACTGCCTATGATTGAGCTTGTTAATGTTCTAATTTTTTTTAAAAAGTAGGATGTTAAACCGTTATTGCTTTATTTCTTGTTGGCAAACCACTCTGGGAACTTTATTACATTAAATGAACAGCAACGTATATATTTATTAAAATAAAAATAAATAAAAACTAAAAATTAGCACCATTACTATTTTCAAACTGCTAAAATATGACATTGCACAGTCACAACCAGTGTTCCCTCTAAGCTGAGTTAGTGTGAGCTAGCTCACAGTTTTTTAGCCTCCAGCTCACAGATTTTTGTCTTAGCTCAGGAAGGACGGCTCCAGCACAAACTAATTTATGCAGTAGCCAAATCGCTGGCTCACAGCTTTAATGCCAGTTGCTCACAAAGTAGAAGTTTTGCACACAAGACTCCACAGCTTAGAGGGAACATTGGTCACAACATTTATCTGTAGAAGTGAATATTTAATATTTGCAAGTGCACAATTTTTAGATCCTAACTACAGTGAAAGAGGCTGACTTGCTTGCTGTTGGATACAGTGCCAGAATAATTCCCAGCAAAGGTAGCAAGTGGTATATGGAGAACTTAAGAAGGTCCCTCCAGAGTCCACAAAGAACTGATCCCAGCCTCTTGTCAATGAACTGGACAGGTTTTATTTACATATCTACATGTTGGGCCCAGAGGCCCTAATTGCAACAACTCCTGCAAGCCATCTTAACCACCCACAATGCAGCTTCTTCTTCCCACAGACCACTAGGAAGCAAATGGCCTCTCCTCCAAATATTAACAAATGTATGATGGGAATTGTGTCATTTTGACTATATATCAATAAGCACATTTTCCACTCCAGCTCACAGGTAACAATGTGTTTACTAGTAACAGCAAACACCTAGGGATGGGTCAATCAGTTCATGTGGTCCAAAAGTGAAAAACAGTACTGTGTAGTAAGTAAAAACAGGGATATTCCTTCAAGTCCCAGACATATGATAAGTCACCGTCTTGTATAAAATGATTTTTGGAGTTACATATTAACAAACATAAGTCAATACACATACCACTGGCCGGTGTACATCCCAAAATGCTCTCTCCTGGCTATCGAGGATTTTCCTCTCTATCTTGTCCCTTTTCTTGTCCACTCTGTCGATGGGGAGGTAGATATGTAACATAAAGAACATCAGTGGAAATGCCTTGTAAGATGGTAGCTGACAAATCCAGCAACAAAATGTCAGTGGGACTCACTTTGCTTGTGCTTCTGCTTGCATAAAAATAAACTCCCATTTCCGTGCAAATGCTCGTTGTAACCTGGCCAAGCTCTCCTGAAAACACACCACACGTTAGCAAGTTTCTAGGGTAGCGTTTTACAAACTTTTTACAGGCTTCTTGGAATCAATTGTCCCACAGGCTGGCTACAGCCTGATATTGTTGCTGATCCACATGCGATGCTGCCACTACATTCCATGTAAGACTTCGGATGAATATGGGTGTGTGATTTTTTTACACTGCCATTTTAAATGACACAGTGGGAGTCTCTCCGGGAGCCTGAAAGACTCTTAAAATATATTAACCTGAAATCATTTAGTTTTTCTACAGATACCCATCAAGAATCTCCCACTGATATTATAGGATCCATATTACTGGGATATGGTAAGATGCTACGGCCCATTTGACACAGAAATGCCCTCTGTTTCCTCATTTCCCTCAGCATTCAGATGGCCTGCTCTTAAAAGTCAACCTTACATGTAAAAATGTAACATAAATAAGTGTTGAATACAGATCTACTTCCAAGAGAAGACTCAAGCATATGTGTGTTACTCCAGATTCTATAAACACCCATGCCTTCCTCAGAAGTAAACTGTCTCTAAATAAACCTTTCTTACATTACATTTTTAGATCCAGGCACGACTCATGGGAAAATCCATATAGTTAACAACACAATGCAGAAGTCAGTCCTGAGAAGCAACTGTAGTTGCCACAGGGCTTCTTCTACATTTACACTGGTTAAAAATGAAAACAGAACTTGTCCTCCTCTCTTCAGTCGTATTCTTATTACATTGGGGACTAACTGAAACAAAGTGAGCTTTGATATTGGTCTCTAGCTGAATGTGTAGTCATCCTATCAGAAGAATATGAGAAACGTATAATCTAGTATGCAGCTCTGTAGGCTAGTGCAAAAACTATGCGGCTACTATTAATAAAGATACTTTAAACATTACTTTTTCAAATAGTGTTTCTGAGCAGCAGAGAGCCACACCGTATATTATTTGAAGTGAGGTGCAAGAAGTCTTTCTAATACAAATTGGCACTAAAATGATGCATATGCTATTTTCCCAATCCAGGTACCTGCAGTGAAAAAAAGCATTCACAATACACTTTAAACAAGATAATCTTCAAGGTGACCCTCATTTGTGCTGTGCTGCAACTGTGTGGTTCATGTTCAACAAAGGCCTGCCTGTGTATTTACCATCTGTCTAAAACTGAAGACTAGCATATTGCTGAACAAGCAGTCTCACCATTGTAACTTGGTAGAAGCTTGAATGAAAGGATCTCGATTTTCAACATGGTTCCTTTCTTCTTTCTCAGCTCAGCACTATGCAGTTCCTTTTTAAAGCAGGGATTTCAGAACCTTAAAACTCCAGTATCACTTTCAGTACACCAACATTTAGGCCATAGGTTCTCAAGTGATATTTTCTGGGAGCTGGGTTCTTTGTAAAATTGTTGTGGTCTTGTTCCCTGCACACTACTGTGCGTCAGAGTCTCATTTATTTGACATCTCAGTTCCAGGAAAGGCCCCAGGTACTTACTGCTTCATAGTCTGCTAGCTCAAGCCGTGCTTTGTTTTGCATTGTTCGCTTGCAGAGGTAAACCGCTGGAACACAAAAAATAATCAATCATTTCTTGCTATCGCAGACACTATCTAAAACCCCAGACATCAAGATCTAATGGCTTAATAACGCCTTCCATTCAACCAGAGGTCCCTGACCACTGTGTCTCCATCCTGTGTTTTATATTTATTTATTATTTCAATTTATATACCACTCTTCCCCACAAAGTGGGGCTCAATTTCAAAGGCTATGTTCTACAAAAGAGGGCTGTTTTTTCTCTGAGATGAAGTGGCTGTCAACTACAATCAGTCAATAATTCTCAGGCAGGCAACTCTTATGTACATCTGATGTTAAACATTTAAGTAGGATTAATTGTTTTTATTCCCTTTGTTTTTAGCCATCTGAATTAAGAGAAAATGTACTGTTTGCAGCTATGGATTGTGGCCTACAGCTATATGCTGGATTACCAGCAGTTGTGGAAGCCACATTTGAAAAGGTAGGAAATACAAACAGTTTACTCCCATTTAGCTCCCTTGATTAAAAATATAAAAGGGAATTTAACTATGTTAGGAGATGATGAATGCTAAATAAATCTGAGTAGAATAAGAATCACAGATGCTTGCTGTAAATCCTTCAGCCTACGTGCCTTCATTTTGGGTAGTAGAAGAAGAAGAGATTGGATTTATACCCCGCCCTTCACTACCCAAAGGAGTCTCAGAGCGGCTTACAAACTCCCTTCCCTTCCCCTCCCCACAACAGACACCCTGTGAGGTAGGTGGGGCTGAGAGAGCTCTTGACAGAAACTGCTCTTTTTCAAGAACAGCTCTGCCAGAACTATGGCTTGCCCAAGGTCATCCAGCAGGTGCAAGTGGAGGAGTGGGGAATCAAACCTGGTTCTCCCAGATTAGAGTCCACACACTTAACCACTACACCAAACTGGTGTAGTATAAATTATCTGAAAAACTAATGGGCCCCAGATGGAGAGGCATGTCCATCTGTGCCACAGTTGCTTATTTGGAATAGAGGGAGTGTTTTAGACTATAAAGTTGTTTAAATATTCAATAAGATTTACTTCCAAGAACTACTCCAGCACTTGTGTGCCCAAGATACAACTGATTTACACTGAGCTCTTTCGTAGCATATTTCCTCAACAGAGCCCTAAGCAAAGAGATGAATGTCTCTTCCATTTACAGATAATGAAACAAAGGAACCGAGGTTATTCTCAATTCAGAAAGAATAGTTAGCGCGTGACAAAGGACTTTTTCCAAATTGTTCTACAAGCTAAATGCAAAATCAGGCATCTTTTCCTCTCTGCAGTGTATATGTGAAATGAATCAATAGACATCTTGTTAGCCCCCACCCCCTATATGCTGATTCACTTTTTATGCAGTAAATGAGCCTGCCATTTATACACCAGTCTTTACAGTATTAAGCACCATAAACAGAGGGGAGGAGAACCTTCAGACACCAGATCATCGATCCATGATTAGCCTGTGACTCCCTTGCACAGATCCACCTTGTGTTTTTCACTGTTTGGAGATGCACATATTTCCAGGGCTATTTTTGGGCAGGAACGCACAGGAACGGAGTTCCGGCTGGCTTCAGAGTTGGCCACGCCCACTACAGCCAAAACCTCCATGTGCATGGCTACAGAGGGAAGGCCTGGAGAGCGACCCCCCGGCAACTCCGAGGCAGGTGGGCCGGGGGGCCCTGGAAGGATTGGGAAGGCATTTAAATGCCTCCCCGTGCCTTCCCTGGCCTGTCCAAGGGCCAGCTAGCCTGGGCGCCCTGCAGCTGTGGGACACTCAGGCAAGCCAAGGGAAGACAGTTTAAGCTGCCTTCCCTTCCCTTCAAGGGAAGGCATGGGGGTGTGGCCTAATATGCTAACAAGCTCTGCTGTTGGGGTGTGGCCCAATATGCTAATAAGTTTCTGCTGTTGGGTGTGGCCTATTATGCAAATGAGTTCCTGCTGGGCTTTTTCTACAAAAAAAGCCCTGCATATTTCCATAACATTTAGGACCATAAAATCAATGTATGCATGTGATGCCCTGACCTGGATAGCCCAAGGCTACTATGATCTCATCAGTTCTCGGACATTAAACAGGGCCAGCCCTGGTTAGTACCTGAATAGGTACATTTGACCTTCAGGATCCATGCCATTCCAAAACTAACTTCTTTGTGCTATCTAGAATGTAACTTTTCAAAAAGTAGCAGAAGATGCACCTCAGAGGAGACTAAAGGAATATGCATCACAAAGCAATGTGCAAATGCTCATCACTGCCAGGAAGCCTATCCTGGAGGTGCAAGAATCCTGACTCCTCCCCAAAATACAGTCAATTTGATTCTCAAAATTAAACTGAAACTTTATCCTAGGGAGATTTTCTTGCATACTTTTAGCCAACAGTCCATCTTATCCTCATTCTTGTCATGTCTAATGTTTCAAAGAAAATGAAAACACCAGAGAGAGAGAGAGAGAGAGAGTACATGTACAATTTCTGATAACCTATAACAAGTCATTCTGGCCCTACTGAAACAAGGAGCATTAATGCCTGCAGTGAATGGCTAAGTATAAAATTGCTTTAAAACCACAGCTGAATGTTTATTACAAACAGCTTTAGAAAAGCCTGCTGAGATGCTCCATTGTGTCTGAAATAAACACTAATTACACAGCTTTTCTCTTTTTACTAAGCTGGAAAATGTACCTTCCATTAATCACAATACAACTTCCCTAAGGTGTTTCCTGAGGACAATATTTTTATCCACCCACCCATCCATCATCCATCTATCTAATAAGAACATGAGAGAAGCCAATGTAGAATCAGGCCAATGGCCCATCCAGTCCAAAACTCTGTCACACAGTGGCCAAAAATACCAGGTGCCATCAGGAGGTCCAGCAGTGGGGCCAGCACACTAGAAGCCCTCCCACTGTTGCCCCCCCCCAAGCACCAAGAATGCAGAGCATCATTTGCCCCAGACTGAGAGTTCCTATCTGTACCTTGTGGCTAATAGCCACTGATGGACCTCTGCTCCATATGCTTATCTAATTCCCTCTTGAAGCTGTCCATGCTTGTAGCCGCCACCACCACCTGTGGCAGAGATAGTGTGTGCATTAATACTTTGCAAGCACGAGTCTGATTTAGTGCAAATTGCTCGGTCTATAGTCCTTCTTCACCTGGTATAGCTCTGCTGAGAAAATTTTTGCCCATCTTTCCATTTGTACTAAAGCCCCAGCTTTCACTGCTGAGAGAATTTCTACCACATCTTTCCCTTTAAAGTGCATCTCCCACCACTGCTGTTGTTGCTGGTTCAGGGAAAGAAATGATGCTGTCTTTTTTACTAGGGTTTGCTGCTTAGCTGATGTTGCCAACCTGACCTACCCTTGTCCTCCTATAAGAGCTCCTATGCCATTTTTTAATGCTAACCTTTTGTGTGGAAATACAAACATGAAATGAATGATCTGTTTTCAACTCATTTTTGTCTGGGAAAAAACTGTAGCAGGACTGGAAGGAGAGGTAAAGGGGAGGCGAGAGCCTTGTCAATTTCATTTTTAAATCAAACCCAGTATGCGCACACCAGAATTGAAACAGTGCTGTGCAGGGCTCTTTTTGTAGAAAAAGCCAAGCAGGAATTCATTAGCATAATAGGCCACACCCAACAGCAGGAACTCATTAGCATATTGGGCCACACCCCTGACAGCACAGCTCATTAGCACATTAGGCTGCACCCCCATGTTCCCAGAATTGTGGTTTTCAGCCATGCCCACCTTTTGCTTGTTATTCTGTTTACCTTGTTTGTTGTCAAAACCCAGGGCCTTTTTTTGTAACAGGAACTCCTTTGCATGTTAGGCCACACACCCCTAATGTAGCCAATCCTAATGAGTTTCTGCTGTTGGGTGTGGCCTATTATGATAATTAGTTCCTGCTGGGTGTGGCCACCTCGGGAGCCAGCCGGAACTCCGTTCCTGTGCGTTCCTGCCCAAAAATAGCCCTGATGCTGTGCATGATTCATATTTTAATTTCTGAAAGTGAAAGTGACAAGAGGATTAGATCCAAAGGTCATTTTCTACCAGTGGAAGGTGATTGTTTTGCAATTTCCCCTTCTCCTTCCAGATTCCAATTTAACCTCTCAACTATTCCTGAGGGTCTTAAGTCCTCCAGGAGCTCCATTTCAGGAAGCTCAGTGGGCTGCAGAAGGAGGAAGAAGAACGAAAGGTCAGTTCCACTAGCAGAAGTGCCTCACACCCAAGTATTTATTCTGCCTCACACCCAAGTATTTATTCTGCATTCCTTCTAGAGTACCATTACTCAAACTGATGTTGGGGGGAGGGGTCTGTAATGGTACCCCAAGTGTGCCCACTAGTCCTTTGCAAGGACAGAGGGCAAGCCCTTCTTGAACTAGTAGGCTAAACTGAAAACAGAGCACTCCCAGCTTGTATTAATGGGACAGGGACTCTTTGCCTAAGAGAAAGAGGACAAAACCAGTCATCTAGCTTTCAGACCAGCTCACAGCAGTAGCCAGAAGATGCACCAATTGGTCTCTGGGAACTAATAGCTCAGACCTAGGAACTCTAATGGACTGAGTGGCACCAAAGAAAAACAAGCTGCATCCACACATTGCTCAATACTGTGCTATCATTGTGCTACAGGCAATTATTAGTAACTGGATCAACTCGTCCACTCACAAGAATCCAGTTTTTAATTATTGCTATAAGTCAACTATCTTCCAATATCCAATGACATGAAGATGCAGCCACTGCCCTAATACAATCATCAAAGTTATTTCTAGTGCCAAATTTGAACAGGTTTTCACTCTCCTGTCCAATGCAAATAATTTCAGCAGGGAGACAGACAACTCTTTGCCCACAGACAATAATAGCCAATGAGAGTTTCTAGTTGAATACCAAAAGTTCAGGTTTTGTATGATGTTTATCTATCAGCAGCTCTGAAATTTTATTTAAACATTTTATGTAAACTTGCTTGGGGGGGTTGCAAAAAAATTAAATCAAAATGGGGTCCTTGAGCAGCCAACATTTGATGACTTCTGG